CAGAAGGTGTGCGCACTTGCTGGAGAGAGAGAAAGGGAAAGGGAGAAAGTCCCCACACACAGAATGTCATGCCATAATCCCTTCTCCATCTCTCTTTCCTTACAGGATTTTGGGCATTTATGCACATACACCCTGTGTGTTTCCCAGGCTTCTTTGGCCTTGCCAGCTGGGGCTATTTTGAATCAGCTGGCTCTAGTTCTCAAGTTACCCCCTACCCCTCTTATGTGCACATCAACATACGTGCACATGCAAACACACAGCACATGCACACACACATATGGGATGGGAAAACCAGGAGCTGCCTTCCTTCTCTTGATCCTGAGAGGCAAGCTTCTTCCTGATGGGCCAGCTACAGTGCAAAGCTTGTCCAAGCCCGACTCTTCATCCCTGGTGCAAGCAGCCTGCCTAGAGTCAGCCTCCTCGTATGATACCTCCATCAGCAGTGCAGCCCACTTGCAGCTTCAGCACGTTACAGTTTTCCCTGACACAGGGAGAAAGGGCCAGGGAGAAAGGGCGAGGGACAGAGGACAGGCGGCGGACCAATATGCCCCTGTGATTTCTTCTCCATCCTCTAATATCAACTGTAGATTTGTTTGGCAGTGTGAAACTGAATGAACAAATGCCAAATGAACATTAACAGAAAGAGAAACCAAGAAAAAACACCCCAGAAGCAGCCACTTATGCTTGTTTTGTTTTTCTTGGGTAAATGCTTGGGGTTGCAGTTTCAAATTGTGTTTTACAGCGTGTGAGCTTAATTAAATTTAACACATTGGAGAAACTTCACTTAAAATAGCAATTCATGTTTTCTGCTAACAGATATGTCCCTAGTTCATAAGATGGAATGTTATTTATCAGGAATGTGTTTTTCACAGGGAAGACTTGTGACCTGCTGCTTGGGACAGTCAATATCTTTTGACCTTCTGGATTTATTCTCCCCTTTCCAACCTTGCTCTATGTCTTGGAAAGCTGACTGCTGTGCACCCATGAACTTTGGCTTTCTGTGGAGTTCAGCCCTGGATGTAAGCAGAAGCAGCTGGGAGACAGGGAAGAGAGAGAGGCTGGACTACTATGCTTGGTTTGGAGCTTCTGTTCAACCACATTCTCTAAACCAGTGTGTCCTAGTGGGGTTTGATTTTTGTCCCCAGAGGATAATCAATAGAGGCCAGGGACAAGGCTAAACATCCTATGGTACATGTGACAGCCTTCAGCACAACTAAGACTCAGCCAGCCCAAAGGGTCAATAATGTGTGGTCCTCCATACCCTGTCAACCCCTTGACAACTAGTCCCTCTATAAATAAGGTCTTCACACCTCTGGGAGTGTGCCTTATGCATCAGAAGGGCCCAGCAAGTTTTAAAAATGTGGGCAAAGGGCGTGTGGATGGGAAGACTAGAATGTGACAGATAGCTGGTTTGAGAGCCCAGCAAAAGAGCTTGGACTATACCTTGTAGATCATGACTAGCTCTGGAGGAGTGTCTTAGTGGACAAGGGGCATGGCCAGAGTTGTGTTTTAGGTGGAAGCCTCTGGTGATGGTGGTGCTGCACGCTGACTTTTGGAGAGCACGGCAAGGCACAGACAGACTGTTTGGATGCCAGACAAGAAGTGGGGAGGCCTAAGCCAAAGCCTGCATGCAGAGTGGGAAAGTAGGCAGATGAGTGTTTGGAAGGTATACCAACCAGCCAAAGTGATAGAATGTGTGCAGGGATGAAGAGGATTGAGGCTCTCTATACTGGGATGGAAGGATTAGCAGATGGTTTTGTAAGGGGAGGCGTACCATGAGGTAGGGGCACATAGGTGGAAAATGAACTCCATTTTTGTCACTAGAGTTTGAATAGTGTCCACTTTTCTTATAGTTTGTTGGCTGCCTGGAGCCAGGAGTGGTCTTGCTTTAGATTAAGGATTGGCTCTCTAAATCCCAGTGGATGCCATTTGGTCTCAGCTCTGTTATTCTCACAAGGCAAAGTGCAAACTGTTCAGGGTCCTCTTTTTTTTTTAAGTTTTGCCAGAAGGTGTGCGCACTTGCTGGAGAGAGAGAAAGGGAAAGGGAGAAAGTCCCCACACACAGAATGTCATGCCATAATCCCTTCTCCATCTCTCTTTCCTTACAGGATTTTGGGCATTTATGCACATACACCCTGTGTGTTTCCCAGGCTTCTTTGGCCTTGCCAGCTGGGGCTATTTTGAATCAGCTGGCTCTAGTTCTCAAGTTACCCCCTACCCCTCTTATGTGCACATCAACATACGTGCACATGCAAACACACAGCACATGCACACACACATATGGGATGGGAAAACCAGGAGCTGCCTTCCTTCTCTTGATCCTGAGAGGCAAGCTTCTTCCTGATGGGCCAGCTACAGTGCAAAGCTTGTCCAAGCCCGACTCTTCATCCCTGGTGCAAGCAGCCTGCCTAGAGTCAGCCTCCTCGTATGATACCTCCATCAGCAGTGCAGCCCACTTGCAGCTTCAGCACGTTACAGTTTTCCCTGACACAGGGAGAAAGGGCCAGGGAGAAAGGGCGAGGGA